ACACGATTATCAAACCTCTGATTTCGAAAATTCCGAAAATGTTTCAAGAAAAAGCATCAATCAAGAGGATACAGGTGAGAAAAAAAATAAGAAAAATTATCTGTTCAAACGGTGAGGTGACGACCACGATGCAATTTTACACCCATTCAAATATCACCCTGTAGCAATGTTATCTGAGAATACAGAAGTTGCATATCGCCACAACAAACTCTCAAGAGATTAGGCTAATCATCGGTGAAAACCAATTCCAAATTGGTAAGGAAATTCGTGAGTTATTCTACTTTGAATTCAGGCTATATTTTGGACCACGACGTTATCAATGTTGACCAGTTTATATTCGAAGAGGCATTGATACCAAAAATTGTCAACGAATTAGTTTTTTGGAGAAATAAGAAAATCATTGTTAAAATATCTAACTTTTTTTTTTGCAGATATAATTCGTTTTCTTATCATATCTTCAATACTGTTCTAGATGTTTTCATGAAATAAGACATGCACCTACTAAACATCATGTGGTAGTATTTAGATGTGTTTTTGTCTGATTTTCATTCAAGCAAGGTCAATTGATTGAATTAGCCAAAATGTAAGAGGGAAAATATTCAATGTTGCTAAATGAATGTGGATTTCGAAAATGGTTATTATATTTCTGGAAAAAGCAAGGACGGTAACATATTTTTTTAGAATAATCTTCAGTATACATCCCATACGGACGCCACTGGTAGAAATATTAAAAAATCTTCTGCATCAGGCAATGCCTACTGATGTATTTAGGATATGATAAGAAAACGAATTATTTCTTGAAATTTCAAAACCCTCTTCAGATCGAAAGTTCAGAGGTTTAGGGCATATGTTCATATCTCGAAATGAGCTAAAAGGGACCACATATGCTATATTTTCAGCCATCAATTAAATTACATTCTGTATAAATCAATATTCTGTAGTATATCAGCCAGGAAACTAGTATCTAGTTGTTTTCTGCTAGATATTTCAACAATGATTTTCTAATTTTTCAAACAATTTATTCACAGCCAAAGGGGGGGAGGGGCGATAGAAAACAATTATATATCTTATTTATAAGATTACCGATTAATCACGGAATAGTTATCTGACAGTGAGATATTATAATATAGAAACAATTCACTGCGTGTATATATTATGATAACGACAAATAAAATCATCAAATGCAGAATCCTGAAAGATGTTTTTCATAAATATTCAACCTACCCAGTAGTCCGATACATTTTTTTTATACAAAGAATCACTCAGAATACGTTGAAACTTTTCATCACAACAACTTTCAATGAAACCTCATCTGAAGCACATGAAGCCATCGAAAACCAACCACAGATCGGACTGTTCAATTCCAAAGTAGGTATATTCCTACCTCATTAACTTCAAATTAGTGACTGCTTGATTTTCATAATACGTATATGAATACAAACAGTGGTATTGCGAGATATTGATAATAAAAATCAACAATCCTTGAAATAACAAATCACCACCACCACGGTCATAAACATAAACTGAATAGACACTATTTCTTCGACAAACTGCAAAAAACTGACAAATACTGAGATGTACCTATTCACGAAAAATTTTACATTATGACGTTGTCTCAATTAATGAAACAATATAATAAAATCCTATCAGCAATAATTGCAAGATAGAAGATATCTAAACCATTTCAAGATAAAAGCATGAGAATTTATTGTTTTTTTGTGAAGTGAATCACTAAAAGCCGGTTGTATAAAGCATTTGGTAGATGATTATTTTATTTAATTTGTTTATCCCTTACCTGATGAGAACAGAGGTTTATGCAACAGGCCTAAATATTTGAATTTGGCACGTTGATATCTACAGGGTTATCACAAATGTCTCTTCAAGATTATTATATTAGATTGAATCACCATTGATTGAAACGGCTCATGAGATTTCACTCACATTGGTACGTTGGCATAGTTCCATTGGGCAATAAAACCCATATTGAACTTGATTTTTTAAATAAACATCTGAAACTTCTACGCCAATGGGAAGGAAGGGGGTTTGAATATGAAATGTGGATTGCGTAGCTGGTTCACTACAAAAAGGTAATTTTGATAAAATTCGAATTTGAATTTCAGTAATTCAAAGGATCAGTCAACACTAAAACGATTGACAGATATTTCTCAGAAATTGTTAAACATTTTTATCATTTCCACGTATACAAAGATTTATACGACCAACAAAATTTAAATGTGCTATATGAGCTATTTTTTGCTGTTTTTTTTTGTACTGAGTAAGCCAGAGCCGTCTAGCGCCCAAACTGAGCAAACTATGAACTGAGGTGTATTTTCTTGTATCCATTTTTTCCACCGTACAATAAATCTTTCTATTCTATAGAACAAGTTTCATGACATATATGTTGATCGTTTCAATGTAAACAAACTGATGCTTTGAATTACTAAAATTCAAATTTTGTCGAAACCAGAGTAATGGAATTTTATCAAGAGTACCTTTTATGTAGTGAACAAGTTACTCAATGCAAATTTAATATTCAAACCCGTTTATTTCCATTGGCGTAGAAGTTTTAAATGTTCATTTAGTGAATAAATCAAGTTCTACGCCCATGGAAACTGTGCTTATATATCGAATTGGTCTGGTCCCAGGAATATGTGCGGTAAGTTTCTGTAAAGACCTTTTAGGGACACCCTGTATAAGAATGCAAATTCTTTAGAATACCAAGATGAACAAAAAATCCTTCGTTTTCTAGAGACATTATAAGACGTCAAATTTGAAGTCTTAAAAATAGTATTCTAATAAATGATTTCAAAGGCACTATGCGTGGCGAAATTCAGGGTTGTCTGTGAATGAAAGGGTACCTAGCAGAATTTGTATTGAGCCAAATTTGGAATGGACCACGGGAATCAATGTACACAGGGTCGATGATCAAGACTCGTATGATTCCTTCTGTAATTTGTTTTACCAGGTTTTCAAAAAGCAGATGACAAACAATAATTGGAAAGAAATGGAAATACTTGTATTTTTTTGAATAGGTACCTATTGACTTTTAAAGGATGCCTAGAATTTTTGTATATCATTGATATACTTGTATTTTTTTGAATAGGTACCTATTGACTTTTAAAGGATGCCTAGAATTTTTGTATATCATTGATTAGAACCCGCACGTTTGTTTTCAGCAAGATCAGATCATCAACCATGTGCCATGCTGTTTATAATTTGTCCCAAACCACCGATCATAAACGTTTATGTTCGGTGCTATAGACAAGAATGAATTAGTGCCAAAAAGTAGATGCGAATTCCAGTGGCGCTGTTAGGAAGATATTCAATTCAAGAGATAGGTGGCGATGGAAATTATCACGACGATATGCAAAAACAAAAGAGCTCTCAGATAGTCCAAAAATATGCCACTTGAAATTCGATAGGAATCAATGTTTCGACAAAAATTGAAATAAATTAATTGTAAAGACTCTTTCTGTATCTGTATCTGTTACTCGAAATACCCTTGCAACATCATAGTTGATCGAAGATTTTCAAATTTGGTATACCGGGTGACACAGGGTATCGGGCCACCCCTGTAACTACTGCATTCGTCAACGGATTTTTCTGAAATTCGGTACAGTTGTATAAGCAATTATTTCGGATTTGATCACATTACAATCCAATATGGCAGACTTCCGGTATTTTCGAAAATGCCAGCAACTTTGTTTTTTCAAATGAAACACCCTGTATATTTTTACATATTCAAGTTCAACAGGCCGAAACAAGTGCAATCTTTATTTCAAATGTAATTTTTTCGAAAGAATGTAAATTAAAATTGTTTTTCCATTTTACCTCGTGGATGAATGAGAGGTGGTCAAGACTATTCACAATGAGTCACACATAACAGAAGAACATAATTTTTTCTGAAAAATTATTTATTGTGTCACTTATCCAGGAATCAATTCAGCCACATCACTTTTTGATCAAAAATTATTTTTTTTTCAAATGGAACCCCTATGGGCCACCTACCCGTCTCTTTAGAACATACATTAAGGAACAAAATGACATATCATTTTTGTTTTTCGGTGCAGTAACAAATTGTATACATTAAAAAATCAACAACTAGGTAGTTTATGAATTTCCTTGCAGTTAGAATAATTTTTCAACTAGGTAGGCTGTGGAATAAATGACATTTGACATCAAGATTGCACTTGTTTTGACCTGTTGAACTTGAATATGTAAAAATATACAGGGTGTTCCATTTGAAAAAACAAAATTGCTGGCATTTACAGAAAAACCGGAAGTCCGCCATATTGGATTGTAATGTGATCAAATCCGAAATAGTTGCTTATATAACTGTACCGAATTTCAGAAAAATCCGTTGACTAATGCAGAAGTTACAGGGGTGGCCCGATAACCTGTGTCACCCGGTATATGGGCTATATATAGATGTTTATGCTGAAAAATTTTTTTTTTTTGAGATTTTCGAGGCACCTACTATTTGAAATGAGCATTTCATCAAGTAGGGCTGAAATCGAAAAATGAAAATTTGACTCGAGAATTTTCTATCTTTTTTAAAATTCCTATGAATGGTAATTCGAGCCCACCGTCTTGTATGAAACAATAAATACAATTTGAAAAACCTAATTTCCAATTTAAATGCATTTGACCTTGATCAGAAAAAAAATCGCCAACAACGTAATTTTTGCTTTTTACTTATTATAAAGTTCATTGCCCTAAACTTAGCCCTCCTGGGAATTCTTGAGCACATTGATGGAAATTCCTATTACATTCGTGCCAAGAGTGCCAAAAATACGTAGATTTATAATAATATCTACACGAGATTTTTTATTTTATTTTATTTTTTATACCCACTGACCAGACTGCATTTTTTCATCATGAAAGGTCATAATTACATCCATCAATGTCGACATGACATTAAGAAACACACATAATATCCGCAAAACAAACAAAAAAAAATGAATCTCCACATAACTATTGGGAATATTGAAAGAACTGACCTGAGACTGCAGTAACATCTGGCAAGTTATTAGACAACTTGTTCTTCGACCTCTGGAGGGCTCTTTCAAAATCGAACACTGCATCATCGAATCCATCGCCTTGAAATGGAAATTTTGAGGTTGGCGTTTTCGTTACTACAGGAGATGGAGTGTTCTGCTCATGAATTGGCTGAAACAAAAAAAATTACAAGCTTAACAGGGAAATGGGAAATCTTGGTTTGCTGATGGAGCACTTTATGCAATGAAAATATGTGTGCACAAATAGTGAATTTTCTTCACATTATCTGGCAACATTGAAAGATAATTGAAAGGAGTAAGTCAAAATAACGAAAAACATCCTGACTTCCTGACTACGACTCTGAAATATCATCTTTTGTTCCTCCCTTGGCAGTCCCCGCGAGATTAACCCGCCGAGTTGAGGCTTCGCACCACTTCGTGGTCACTTTGGAGACGTGCAGAACATCTCTTTCCAAAGGCTCGTTTATTCAACGAACAGCGAGGCTGTCTAACACATTGTGGGGGGAGGTGTTCCCCGAGGCATATATAACCTCCAGAAATTTAAGAAAAACACCAATTCCTACCTTATTTCCCTTGGTTTTCACGATGTTCTCTGAACATTACAGGATATCCCTTTTCGTGGGAACCAGAACATAAAAAAAAACGCACTATGTTCGCATGGTTTTGATAGGTAAGTACCCCCTCTAATGATGATTTGAATATATCCTCAAGGTTAGCGCGATGAGTTCATATCACGAAATGCAGGGATAGTTCGGGTATAAATTCAAATACATAGTTGAAAATTTATTAATATACGGATTTGAAAGCATTCCCAAAGAATAACTCGCCCCAGAAATAAGCGTTCGATTTTTTTCTCCTCGGATGCTGGTCCTGTCACCAGTTATTCACTTCAGCCTCCTGAGCTTTTTGTGCATTCCAGTTTGGTTTTAGAGCACCCATTCTGTACCAGTGTGTACAGGTTGTTCACCGGTTGGCCGTCATATTCTTCGGGAGTAGTCTGGGCTACCCGAATATTTCTTGTCTTTTACGATCCAGTGCCTCTCATTCTATCAATAGGTGTTTTGCAGTTTCTGTCCCTTTTCCGGATTGTCTGCAGGAAAGGTCTCCATTCTACAACCCTATTTTGTTCAGGTGTCTATCCTCTCATTGCACTGTGAGTCGACTGTGACCAGTTTTTGAAGGAGAGTACAAACTATCTCCCACTCATGAGAACCCACAAAGTTGTAGGTACATAGGAATGTGTCCATCCGTTAGGTACTCCAAAACTCCAAACCAGTTTTGTTGCATTTGGAAGGAGGATCACTTGTCTTAGTATAAGTATAAATACCTGCAGTATTTGGGAACAATCACAAAATAACTCCACTATGTGTCGTAATCTTCGTAACATAACTTTTTTTCGCAAATATCGCTATAACCCAAACCGCATTGGTCAATATCATTGCACTCGTAGCACTAATCACTATTCGGCTGTTCTAGTGATAGTAGTACAATAGGAATTCACCGACGGCACAGTTAGCGAAAAACTGTTTCTCCGATCTGAAATACCCGCATATGGATGATCAATGTCAATCAATCATACTTCCAATCAGAACTTACACAGGAATTTCATGTTATGAGGGTACATAAAAACAAATGAACCGCTATAGGTACACACGAACATATGATATTCAAACAATGCCATGCTATCAAACATTGAAATCATGATGAAATGTTATAAGACTCGGATGTGGATTGATTTTCTTTCTCTATTTTCTCGAGGTATTGGTATTGGTATTGGTAGGTTGGATGGTGACAGCTGCGCTGCGACCTAATTAGATCTACTGTGCCCCATCTGCTTCTGCTATATCAAGGATTTCTTGTTCATAGCAGCCCCTCGAGATTCAATTCCTTCAGGAATTTGAGGATTTTCAGGGGGTCTAGTTGTGGTATTTCTTCCACAGTCAGCTGGTGTGTTCCCAGTATGTTCAATCTTTTGTGATGTACAGCGTCACACACCATCAGTATGTGATGGGGTGTTTCTGGTTTCTCGGGGATACATCAGGCTCATACAATAGTTTGGTTCTTTCCTCCTAATACTTGCTTTCGACAAATCAACTCTCTTTCTCATACCACCGAACATACTATTTATTGTGTTTCTATGTGATGATATGGATGGAAATATTACGGTATACAAACGAATATAATCCTTCGAATTTCTTTGGATGCCTCTGGGAGTCTCTGGAGTCCGATTATTTTAGAGCCTCTGAAGGTATTTTGAATGTATTGGAAGTATTTGAACATGTTTAGGTCATTTCCAATCATCAGCACTAGACATATTGAATTTTAAAATAGACGTATTGATGATGTCTATATGTATGAAAAGAATGTATATGTCTGAAAGACTCTCTGGAACGAAAAATGTACGATCTTGAGACTCACATACGAACAAGTACGTCTTGAAGATGTCCTTAAGATGTACATACTACGACTAAGTAATTGGGATGGAATTCTGGAGTACAAATTTATCATGGAAATTTCGAGGAAAATTTGCTTCATGGCTTTGGACCTAAAGATATCTTCCGAAAACTGAACCTGGCTAAAACAGAGCTGTTCGTGCTAATCTTCGGAAAGAGGAGACCAACAGAATCACCTACCCTATATGGAGAAATAAGTGCTTCTTCTTAGGAGTGAACAAATAAAACTAAGGCGGAGTAGAGTCATCAATGCGATCAGCGATGTTTGGAGACAGACTGAATACTTATCTCACCTTATAACTTTGTTCCAGGACTGCTAGGACTGGAGGCGTGAGTCCCAGCAGTACTTCCATGGACTGTCTCTGTCTTCTTCTATCTTTTCGCCGCTTGATCGAGCCTGTACGATTATCGTCCTCTTTGATGATAGATTCGCAGTAACGCACGAAATCGAGGTCGATGTGGTAGCCATAAGGACAGCAATCGCACTCGTACCAAGAGTAACCTGAAACGAGTACAAGTGACTCATGAAATATTACATAAGGCGCATAAACTTAATGTGGAACTAATCATGGTGATGTCAGTTATTGGTGGGAACTGGGAAGCTATGAATCGAAAGGGAACGTCCAATCTTAGATTTTAATATCAAATAACTATACCTACAGTTGCAATAATTCTGATAACAGTGATGGGTATTATTGCGGATAAACCGCCTGATGAGCGGAATACATTCGTGAATATAATTGTCCTTAACCTTTCCCAGCTAACACATGGTTCCTCAGACCGAGCTTTCGGAAAAAATGCGTTGATGTTGATTCCTCAAAAAGTTTGGCGGCTTTGTTTTATGTCTGCGGATTGAGCGAACATGTTTTCTTGTTATATAAAAAACTTATTTATCTATTATCTTTGGGACATATACGAACAGGAAGCAGAACATTTATAGAATAGGGTATTGATGTTACCACTTCTGGGGCCGAAATTGAGGATAACAAACCGGCAGGAAGACAATCTGGAAGAAGAGGACCGAAATACCAAGTCCGAGAGAGAACATATATTGGAATTCAGATGCCAAAAGTTCTATTTCGTTTTGAACATGTGAGATTTCAGCAAAAGAATAAAACTATAGTTACCTTCTGTTTCAAAATCTTCATGTTGATCCATAGTTTTTTTTTCAATTGTTTTTCTTGCTTTCCAATACACTTAACGGTTTCTAACACCGACGTTAACTCTTAAGTTATAGAGACGAAAAGGTGATGGCCAGACATACAACAATAACAATAACTACCCAATGCGAGCATTAAACTTTTTATTCAATATCTTTTGGAACAATATTGAGCCAATGATTGAGCGCAAACGAAATTGTAAATACTTGTTCTTCACATCATCAAGGTTCTTATCACCTATAGACGATACAAACGAGTATATGGCCTCGGCCAACTCTGTGATATGTTCTCTGATTTGATAGGAAAACTTGAAAAAACACATGTACCAGGGTCTTCACGTATATATTTTGAACCCCTCCCCCCTCAACTATTTTATTTATCATCGATTTTTTTTCCAAAGAACAGTCTTTTATAATTTATCCTGTAGATTTTGAATATGTTAACAGAAAAACAATTGAACATCTCAAAAATAAGTTATGGGCAAGATGTATAAATTTGAACACCCTGTATTTCATTGCATTTTCAGATTCTTTCTCAAGAGTTGATTTCATCAATCGATCACAGTTGGGGTCTAGCTGAAATGATTACAGAGATATAGGGTGTGAAAAATTGTGATTTTTTCGACTTTAGGAATTTTTTGTGTCGAACCTATTCATTATTGGCCAAAACGGTTTCAATGTCCCTATCTTAACTTTTGATTAATCATCTAACTGACATTTAATTGAAACGAATACAGGGTGGTTCAACATTCAGAACTTCACGAAATAAAAGTTTTTTATTTCACATTTTTTCACATTTCTGAATACAAAACAGTAAAGGTTCCATTTTAAGGCGCACCCTGGTAGATTGTCTGTTTGGGTGGCCTAACACTATATATCACATCTGCGTTCTTCCAAGGTTCTAGTGCCAATAAAATTGGAAACAAATATGCCATAAAGTTGGCCAGCATTGCCAGCAAATTCATAAATCATAACTATTGATAAAGTGAACCTAGCGTCAGGACCGTGCTGGGCTGTCGGGACATCGGGACATATCCCGGTGGCATATAAGCACAACGTACAGTCGTCTTCAGAGAAAATATCGCACATGGACGGTGTCAGCTCTCTTAATCGCCGCTGCAATAAGAGCGCTCATACCAAAGAATAGTATAGGTGACTTGCTCATACCGTCCAACCGCGACATGTTCACTGAAGACGAGTGTACATGGTTATGGTAAACGGAGTGTATCTATATGCTTTCTGATTGGTTGATGCTAAATCACAGTACGTTCTGCCATTGCGGAGTCACAGTCATGTACGTTTTGCGAGTGAATTGAAAATGCATGTGTATGCCAGATAACACGTTACGTTATGCCAGTAGAGTAAAAGTTCATGAGAATGTATTTTGAAGATTCAATGTCATAATGCGAATACAAAACTACAAGAACTAAACACATTTGCACGAATTATCAGAATTCGGTTCTGAAAACATGTATTTCATTAGTTCCTAGTGTCCATTGCCATGTGATTTTGCGTTTGCTACGTTAGATTCCACATATAGCTGTAAATTACGTTTTCTTTTCATTGTTCTTGTTTTTTTCTCAGTAATGGTATTTTTCTGGCAATGGTTGTTGGTTGCACAGGAATTGCCGTACGACAACGCCTTAAAGGAATCTCGCCCTTTAGCCTTTTCACCCAATGCCAAGCATGCTATTTGGTAACGGTTCTCGAAATCATTTGCTTCCAGGTCGTAATACAATGAATAAATTCCTGCTTGGTGTTTACATGTTTTACCTAGCCGACCAACAGGACAAGTGCAGCAACCAATTTCAATATTCACATCATATAGCACTTGGTTAGTAACTTCTTCCGTCCTGCATTTAAAAGATTGGGGTAATTCCATATCGTACCGTAATAAAATCAAGATCAACTAATGAACTCAACGAGACGCACGTGAATGCATGAAACAAATGAATAACTGCATGCAAACAAAAACGGGAAATCTGAGATAGCAGAAGATACATCCCTTTTAAGTATCATACGCAATTCGTACTGCTATTTTGGCGAGCAGAAACTCGGTACGTCTGTAAGGCAATGTGTGCTGTGATTTGGCATCAACCAATCAGAAAGTGTAGATACCCTCCGTTTGCCATAGCCATGTACACTCGTCTTCAGTGAACATGTCGCGGATGGACGGTGTGAGCGCTCTTATTGCAGCGGTGATTAAGAGAGCTGACACCATAGCACAAACAGGCCAGCAAAAAAATTTGCGAAACTGATCGCCTTGTTATTTTTTTGAACCATGTCCCATTTTGTTGAAATTACAGGGAAAAACAAATGTTACTACTTCACGCTCAACTTCTTAACGCCATTTTGAAGCAGTGAGTATGATTAAACCCAGCTTCATCATGTTTTGGATCGAAGATTGAAGTGTGATCCCTTCCCAACACGATTGTTTTTGATTCACTATATCAATATCTTCTTTTGAAGAGAAGATACAAGTGCTTTAAAAAAGTATAGATTTTTTAAATTTGCTCAGCTTACAGGAACTTATCGATTAAAATCTCGAAAAATCATCTAGAAGTTGATATCAATAAATTGTTTTTTCAGCACTCACCAGTAAACAGAAACCTTAATTACTGAAAACAAACGAAAAGCAGACCTCCTAGATGTAGTCAATAACGAGTATGCCCTTCACGAGCATTCAACCGCCGTGGCATGGAGTTGATCAAATTTCTCAAGGATTGAGCTCTTTTCTACCTTGAACGAGAGAAAGGAAAGTTCTCTCCCCTTCCATCTGTCCGATAAATTTTTCTCTGTCTGAGAGGACTGAATCAGGGCACAGTTTAAGGATACCCAATACCCATTCCTTAAACTGTGATCAGGGCCTACTCCAAGTAGGCCCTGACTGAATGAAGGCTGACAAGACTGAGCCTCTGGAGTTCAACCTATAGATGCTCAATGGGTTCTGAATTATTGTTGACAGAAATTTTAAAAACCTATAATTTCTCAAAACATTTGTATCTTCTCTTGAAAAGAAGATTTTGACGTGATTCAAGAACCATTGTGTTAAGATTGTTAAGATGGGACCACACTTCAATCCAAAACAGAAGGTTGGGGAATGGTTCTGAATTATGATTAGTAAAAACTAAAAAATTCTATACTTTCTTAAAACACCTGTATTTTCCGTTTAAGAGAAGATGAATACGTGAATCAACAACCATTGTGTTTAGAAGGGATTTCACTTCAATCCGAAACATGATGAAGCTAAGTTTAAATTCTCACCTTTGCATAGAGCGTTAAGAAGTTGAGGGTGAAAGAATAAATTTTGTTTTTTCCTGTATAATAATCAAGCCATCAGCTTTTTTGAGAATGGAAATTCAGGCTAATACTCCGAAACATAATTTATTCTACGATTAGGTCGAAATTAAACCAGGTGGAGAATTAAAAAATGCACAGGGCGATCAATTTGTCTAATTTTTTTGCTGGCCGGTTTTTTGTCGGTAGTGTATTATAAAATCTAGATAATTTAATTATTCATTTATTCAATAGCAATTATTATTATTATCGAAATAAATTTCTTGTTCTTTCCTGAAGCATAAAATGACTGAAAACACCGTGAATCTGCTTGTACATCAAGTGGATTTGGAGCTGTCAAATCGTTGAATATGCGTATTCAGGGATTGAAATTTCGATATTTATTCATTATATTCCATTGTCCTCCTCCTGCAGTGCTGGTGCCCCCTGACCATGACTGTTCCCACCCCTAAGAAAGGGCCTCAGCACGGGCCTGCCTAGTGTTTACGCTCACGTTACGTGCTGTTTCAAATTATTTCGTAGAAACGTTAACATCAAAATGAATTATACCTGCCTATACTTATCAATAACATATGAGAGCAAATAATGTCGTTCTACTTTTGTACCACCAAAAAAATCTACGCCTATGCTATTGTTGGAGTGTTTACGTTGGCGATGGAATTAGAAAGTGATTTTATGGAACAAATGCAATATTTATTCACGTAATAATTATTAAGGTATATGCGTTTGAATTTGAACGTACCCAAAATGTGTGGAGAAAGTTTAAAGAAATACTTGAGTTCTTCATCAATATGGACATATATTCTTTGTAAATGCAGGTAAAACTTGTTTCAAAGACGAAGAGGTATGTGAGGTACCTCAGTTAATTTTTGCATTTTTCCACACTTGTTGAGGGCGAGAATCTATTTGAATTTAATATAAGTTTTCAAAATATACCGAAAGGCCTAGTCAGCACATCCCATTCGTCGTTAACATTGAAAAATGTCGAACAACACACTACCAAAACTCGTTCGTCTTTAGAACGGCGAATCTTTGGAATTCTTTGCCAATGAAAGTATTCCCAAGAACTTATGACCTCCAAAATTTCCAAAAAACACCTACCTCATTTCCCTATCCTTAGTATAGGTACGCACGATGTTCCACGAACCGACAAACTTCGTTTCAGATTCTTTTCTGCATTTGTAGGAACCTGAATACCTAGTTCCTATCCCAAAATAAAGGCTCGTGCTGTCTGAGATACAGGGTAATTTCATCATGCAAGTCTCTTAATCAACAAAAATGTTCAGGAAGGTAGGTACTTGAAAAAATATTCCAATTATAAGAAGTTGGCATAATGTGATTATAGCATCTTGATAATCAATGATGCCTACTCACAATTCAGGTGAAAAAGTACCGATTTTACTTCTTTTTGACATGAAAATGATTGTGTTCACGTGACCTAGTGTCAAGAGGGCACAATCAACTTTTTTTCAAATGTAAAAAGGGGTCACGTGTCACGTGGTACCTGCTTTTGAACGCCTCTCGATTCTCTTGCTATAAGTAATATAAATAAACAATATTGGTAACAAGTGCTTGAAAATGCTGGAAATGTTCACCGTTCACTTATTGACAAAAAAACGGGCTTTGGAATTCATTCTGAACGTTATTTGATGTTTCCGAGGTAAACTTCAAACACTTGTCATCAGGTTGAAACAGCTTGACCGATTTGCACAAAAAAAGCGGTGTTGGATAGAGAATCGAAAGGCCTTCAAAACCAGGTACCACGAGACCCCCCTTAAACCGTTAATAAAAGTTCTTTTCTATATTCTATATGCAGAAACACAAATATCAGTTTTTAAAACATGCATCGCATCGCATGTGGAATCTGCTTTTAAAAGAATATATCATCACTGGATGATGACAGGTTTGCTCAAAGAAGTAATAAACAAATGGCGTTTATAGTTTACAAAATGGTGAATAGAGAAAATAAACAACGTCAAGTAGCGCCCAGAACAAAGACTATCCGAAAATAATCGATTTGACACAGTGTGCGATTTCACATTTTGAACTAAAATGCTTTTGAAGTTTTGTTAAATGTTTAATATTTCAACTTTATACAGTGTGATTCGGAAGGAACGCTCCAAACGCCCTACCAAAGAAATACCCATACATAAAATCATTGTTTTTAAGCCTACTACCCTTACTACATGACATGTATAAACCAAAAAAGAGCAATACTTTATCTGATTCAAATCAAATTTAATTTCCTATAAACCTCTGCTATAATAGTTTGTTTCTTACGTTTGATTTTTTAATTTATATTATATTTTTGTTGTTGGTTAATTTTACTATTTGGTCCTGTTTTTTTGTTTACTCAAATCTGATATAAGTATGAGTGCACTCAATTGCATGCCAATATAACTTTATTTTGTGATATTTTTGAGTATTTTCAGATTGAGAATTAGGAATATGTTAACTTTATTTTTATAAAAATGTTTATTTTGTTTGATTCAATTCAGTTGGAAATGGGTTACATATTTTGTTTAATAAATATACACATTTTTCTACGATATAGGTTCATTTCATTATCCTTTCCTGGAATTTGTATAGCAGAAAACTGAATTTTTGACAAGGTATCTAGTGATGAAATTAAAATCGAAGTGGCAACCCTGGCCCGTCGCATATCAACCAGACATATACAGGGTGAGCCATAACTTTTGGGACAAAGGCTAAGGGCGAATTGTTTGGACCAACATTATGGCGACAGGACCGAATATGCCTCAATAAAATATCGCTGTGGAAAAAGATTCAGGGCGTTAAAGTTGTTTTTTTTATTTTTTGTGATAATCCCACTGTATATCCATCAGTGGGTATCAAAATCGACACAGAGGCATAGTTTTATACAGGGAATATCATTTTATCTATTATTATACAGTTTCTTAGAGGGGTGCCACTTGAATGATTCCGATGATGAAATCGTTTGATTTTTTTTTAGTGATTTTGATAAGAAAATATGACATGAACATAATTTCCACGTAATATTGGTAGAGTAAGGTCGGGGATTATGATATACAGGGTGTTTCATAATTGGATGTCAATATTTGGGAAGGCGATTCTTGGGCCCAATCTAAGGAGAAAGGTTCATATGAACGTATGACCTAAATGTCCTAACTTTTGAGATACAGGGTGGTGAAGTGCTCAAAAATTATTAGTTTTTTATTAATATCTGTAATACCACTTCAGATATTCTGATGAAATTTCGCATACATGTACTATGTATCAAGAGACATCAGTTAGTGTACCCCTTTTTTTTTGTTGCCACCAGTGGCGTTCGTATGGAATTTCACATACCTATTTTGGCAGACATTGATGGTACACCACTGATTAATCTCGAAATTGAAATCATTCCTGAAATTCCCAATCATTTCTGAACAAATTTGATCACCACAATATTTTCAATCAAGATTTTCACTACATGATATTATAGCAATATATCGTTAATATGACAATATCTCAATGCAGAAAAAAATAGATTTTATTTTTTAGATCAAATTTCAGATATACAATTCATAATTTATGAACTTTGTATTCGTATTTTGTATTTTGGAATTATCATTGTAGTATAGGCTATATTAACTTTTGAGAACTTTACCACCCTGTATCTCAAAAGTTAGGATGTTTAAATCATACGTTCATATGAAACTTTCTTCTTAGAATGGGCCCTCGAATATTGACATTCAATTATGAAACACCCTGTATATCCGGTAATATGACATACCCTATTTTTGACGAAACCACATCAAGCGCCATCTATTCCAATTTGAAATAATATCATTCCATTATTGAGTTCATAGTTATTCCACAAGTGTGTTCATTCTATAGGTAACTATCGTTTCTGACAGTTTTAATAGTTGATGATGATGCTCACGAAATGTTTAGTTGAGATCATTAAATTTATATTTCAAACACATCTGGAAGTGATTTTATCTCATATTATTGTTTAGTTGAGTATAGATGAATGATATATGAAAGGTCCATTGTAGACATAGCGCTCATTTTAGATAATTTGTATTTTTTTAACTATTCAACATCCGAAGGCAGCTATTATTATAACAAAATGAAAAACAATGCGAACTAAAACTCCATGAAGCAAGAAGTGGAATGAGGAAGACGAAAAAACGCAATATCAGTTAGGAGCAGAAGAATGGATATATCCATTCTTCCATCCACTATATATAGTGGATATATGAATAGTTGATATAAAGCCTAAGATGCAAGCATTGGGCCCGAAACATTAGTTTTTTATTTATATTCATCTGAATTTGTTATCATAATTAGGTTAAATAAATATTTTGGCCACACCATTACAGTTTTAAATTTATATTTCATTCAATATACTTTCTGAATTAACTCAAAAAATAAAAACGGTATTCTATAATCTCCGACTCTACGCTACTCTTGTTCAATAACGATATGTCCATCCGTTTTTGAGCAAAAGGCAATTGAACAATTCAAAGTCTCGAAAGGGGTTTTCAAATATAATTAATGGAGAGTGTGCATGCGTTGGACTGTCAGATAATTGTTGCTGGTGAATTACATGTCAGTGAATGAATTTTGGTGCGAGTTCATAGTCAATACTTTTTCGATTGAAACGCCCTGTATCATTTTCCACGGCAATATTGTATCTAGGCATATTCGATCATATCGCCATATTTTGGTCCACTTACTCACTCTGTATGTATAGGTCTACACTTTTACGCGAGCTTCCGTGCTTTCACGAAAGAAATTTTCTCATAACCATCAGGTCTTCCCTCCCCCATACTGAAATTAATGTCAAAGGTTTTCATAGCTGATGATTACATTCCAACAATAATATTACACTGTCCATTACCAATTTTCCCATGCACTCACCATTTTTATTAGTGTTATCAACTGGAGAACTGTAATTCTGATATGACATACTATTCTGTCTGTCTGTCAAATAGGAATTTCACGCACTGAAACAGAAACAGAATATATAATAAACATTCAACGATGAAAATGTGTTTGATATATATACATATTACCTATCTGGCCAAATTATTTATGTGATAAGCGTTATCTAAGGGGTACAGAATTTATAGTGGAAGATAATATTCGAGACCAACTATAACGTGAAATAAGATAAGATAATGAGAATTCTTTATATTTAATAATGCAACAAGCATTCGCCATGCTTGAAAGGCTGCACAGGATGCTGAAATGAGATCACTATAGTTTGTGATTGGTGGTGTGAAAACACGAATTCAACCTGCAATATCAATTCGAATAGTGGGAGTTTTGAGTCAACCCTCAATGAGGAATAAGAGTAATAAGAAGTAATAAGCAGAATTTGGAAAGATACTTACAATGGAAAATAATTCCAATATTCACTTGATTCATCTACAAGTTCTTCACTATTTTTAAACTTCTCATCAGACAACTATAACCTTTTATCATTTTTTTCAGTATTTTATCAATTTTTCCAATTTTATTTAATGTAATTCTTCTGAAATTTGCAGATTTGCATCAGGCAACTGCGTTAATCTCAACTCTTCTCACCAAATCGCAAAGAAATATTACTGATGTTTGGGGGAAAATATTCGACCATTGGAAAAAGTACATGCACAAAAATAAGTAGGTATATAGTAGAAAATTCAGAAGAATAGCCCATGTTCCGTCTATTGAAATATAAATTTCAATTGCTTTCTTATTTTATTTACGTTCTTGGAGCTATTCCGAATTTGGATTATTTTGAACAAAGGCTTCAAGAGACATTTTCAATTTCCCACTTACCTAATTTCATCCACGATATTCATACAAACACATGTGAGAATAATGAGCTTATAACTCGGCTTATAATGAAAATTAAAAGTTTATCACCAATTTAAATACCAGCAGAAATATTTGTTTTGGCTATAGCTATTCATAATGTCAATGTCTCACTCATATGAAGATGAGCTGAATAGTATAATGGTTCACACACTGATGCGCAAGAAACTTTAGAAGTGACATTTGAATTAATAGACGGCAAAAAAACAAGTCCTTAATTTTTTGCTGAGGCATATGTAGATCGTTAACCTGAAAGTTATTTATAACACTAATGAATGGCAGTTTTTCTTTATTTATTTTCCTGCGGGATATCTAAAATTAAGTAAAATACAAATAGGCGTATACGTATATTATGTTGGATACATGATAAATACCTATTTAGGTACTACTAATTATCTTATAACAGTCTTTCTGATGTTTAAAAAACGATATATTAATAAAGATATACTTATTTAACACACATATCCCAATATGGTTCTTTCGATTGTTATTCATTCTACCTACACCTAGGTAACATATACATATGTCTAATTTCTGACCTAACCTAACCCTATACCAAAGTTACAATTCCTTCGATGGAATTGGTATATTTATATACTATTACTACTAACTGATTCATAAACGAGAATAAAAATGGTATATACCTATACCTACCAAGATAATTATGTAAAATAATTTGACATCATATTCTAGTGCATGATACTAAATACTCATTGTATAGTTCTACGCAATTCAATATTTACTCAATTTTTCTTATAGAATTAATTTTTGTTTTTGTAATTGTCAGTAATTAATTTCCTGCAGAGTGCAGAGTGCAGCTCATTATGTCTGTTAGTCATTTGAACATATAAGTATACAGTGTGACCCACTTCTAATGGAAACACCCCTGTATCTCACGTAATCGTTGGGTAAGTATCCTGGAAATTGCTGGAGCTATGACCAAGTTGGGTTATCTTCTATGATATACACTGCTCACCAACAGCCATGGATCCACTCCAATTTCCGGAAAATGATATTAGGAGTCAAAATAGGTTGAAAATCACTTCGGATTCGGAAGTGTTCGGAATCAGGACGCCCAATTCACTAACTATTCATAGTTTTCCTAGAAAATTTTCAGTTCAGAAAAATCAAATTTTGTCTCACTTCTCATGGAAGCACTCCCGTATCTCACGTAATTATTGAAGTAGGGTTCTGAAATTTGCAGGAGGAAAGGAAAGTCCAAAGATGAAGTCAATCACGTAAGATACAGGGGTGCTTCCGTAAAAAGTGCGACAGAATTTAATTTTTCAGAACTGAAAATTTTACAGAAAAAATATGAATAGTTAGTGAATTGGGCGTCCTGATTCCGAATCTGAAGTGGATTTTGATCTCTTTTGACTCCTAATATCATTTTCCGGAAATTGGGGTGGTTCCATGGCTGTTGGCGAACAGTGTATATCACTGAAGATGACCCCACTTGGTCATAGAGTACAGTTTTTGTATATCTCTCGCTCCAGCAAATTTCAGGATCCTTACCCAACGATTACATAAGATACAGGGGTGTTTCCATTAGAAGTGGGTCACACTGTATATTATATTATCGCTAAATGCACTGTTTTATGTTGGCATTCCTTCAATAACATTTAATAATAATACTATCAATAGTAATCAATACTAATGTTAATTTTCCATTGATTTGAAACAAATAAATAATAGAATCCCCATGTATAGAAGGAGGAACCTGTGCGTTGCGTGGGTTATTGAAAGCAATATAGGTATTCGCAATATATTAAATAATGAGATCACCCTCATTCTGAAGCTTTCAATTATCCCATGAACAAACTGAATATTTATGAAGTAGGTACCTACCTATATACAAGGTGTTTCAATACTAATTGGAAATATTTCAGCTGAAAAATCCTGAGCTCAAAATATGAAGATTTAACCCAAATCACCTAGATAAAATGTGTCTCCTGTTTGTAACAGGGTGTTTTATTATTCATTATATTCAAAAATTTGAAAATTAACATTTTGAATGTTAGGTTTCTTCTGTTAATTTTAATTGAAAACATCGACATAATTAATACACATCAAAATCAAAATAATTGTGCAGCTTCATGTTTAACTTGAAATATCTCGAAAAATAATGACTTTATCGCTATGAAGAAACAGTACGATATTTACGTAGAAATTATTGGATAATATAAAAATTGTGAAAAAATGGCAATTCCGCCAGTGGCGTAGAATTTGGGAAGGATCAACTAGTCACATGCCCCTGTAGTACGCCTTTGGTAGTAACCAAAAACGTTCATTTTATATAATTTAATTTCAGAAATGTAGATACTATATACACCCTATAGTATCTACATTTCCCGCCAAAGATGAAAATGATACGTCAATTAGTTTCAAAGTACTAGGCATACAAATAATTTTTAAATGTTCAAATAAAACACCATGTAAGTATAACTCAGAAAAAATGAGACACATTTTATTTAGGTGATTTGGGTTAAATCTTCATATTTTGAGCTCAGGATTCTATACCTACCTAGTTAAAATATTTCCAATTAGTACCTACCTAATGATTCACCCTGTATACAACCACACCAAAAGCTAAGTTTGGGAGGTTTGGTGTGGTAAATTTCAATAAAATGATCGATTGAAGCAAAAGCCCTAGTCAAGAAAATAATAAGAAGCAAATGTATTTTGACCGTCAGGTATTATTATTGTGTTGGAAGTTGACCATTTGGGTAACCGAATAGGTACGAAAACTTGGCCTTGTAGGTACACACCTCTTTGATGTCATTTGAGAATTTCTATTACCAATATCGAATTTTGCAATAGAGATTATGATTGTTGTGGTAGGCTAGTAGGCACGTACTAACATCAAAGCAGAAAATACCTAAATATTTAATAAAATTCATTAGGTAGATACGATCCTATACATAAAAAAATTAATTCTAGAGACATGCATGCCATAGAAAATAGGTAGGTAGGTATATATTACCTACAAATAATAGACATTAAATACCTTCAGAATATTAAATAGAAATTAAGTATTTAGAATGTAAGTTATATTATGTCACAGTCATCGCTATAAATAGTTTTCATATTTGTAAACAAGTCGATTTTCGATTTGTTGAAAACTGAGAAAAGGAATGAATGAACACACAAGTCTGCTGAGATTGAATTCAAATAGCAGTACGTATAGGTATAAGAGAACTATAGAACATTTGTTCTAACTACTGTTAGTAGGTGTAATGTACTAGGTAAATAAAACGCCTACCGAAATTCCAAAGAAGCACAGCAAAAACTTGGCAAAAAAATTAAAAGAAAACACAACGGTTCTTGTCAAAATTCGTCACTGATCACTGCGTTACATGGTCGTTGATGTGATTTGTTAACAATTAAAACGTGTGCGGTATATTCAGTACAAGAAACTTAGATCATTTACATTTTTAGTGAATAGCGGCGTGTGTTAAAAGTGTCAAGTGTCTCGCAACTATTCGTACTTGGAGGTTGCACGGTTAGACGGTTAGAGACCACATCACAGAGAACTTCATAATGGACAACGAACTTTGAGAGAGGAACGCATTCCGCTTTGCGCATGAGTATTTCTACTATCCACAGGTGATCTCATCTCCGATACGATCCTCAGCATCCCATCCCATGAACAGAACAAGTGGCCTGTGGCGCTGTAGCAGTGGCAGTGGCTCAGGTAAGGGTATGTATCTACCTCGGTATCTACCTAACCTACTGCCAGCTGCTTTAATATCAACAAAATAAAATAGAACATGGATACCTACATAATATACACGCCTGGCAAGAATAGTTTTTCTATAGAGAAACCGTGTGCATACTGTGCATGGGCAGCGACGTTGCCATATGCTTCGTATCGCGTTAACGTCTTCGAGCGAGTCCACTTTGCGGCCCGACCGAAGAAATTATCGTTTGTCACACGTGCCAGACTCGAGTAGGTGGGGCAACGACGCCTAATGACTCGTTTCTTTTGAAAATTACTGTTGCCAGGCCAGTATATGTTTTCCGAATATTATCCATGAAGACCGAGATGGAAACAACATATAAGTACTTAGGACTAGGATATTGTATTGCTCTATTGAATTGAAATAGTAG